TTTTTTCTTCATTGACTTTAGAGAAGTCAACTGCCATGGTTTGAATATCTTCATGTCCAGGCACAAAGGAAAATAAACTGATGTCTCCAGCTGATATTTAGTTTTCCTGCATTATGTTGCAGAATTCAGAAGCAGCTTAACCCTGTATGGAGCTGACATTAATTGTGACCTTCACAGACAACTTGATTGGAGTGATTGTGAAACTGGGCACCCAGGTTACCAGATATGTTTAATCTATAAAAACTGGACTGAATATGTTAATTTTTTAGTGACTGTTATGGTTTTATTATATATCAACAATATGTTTTATCACCAGTAACTCCCTAATCAAACCAAAAATTCTAATGACATAAAAATATTTCCATTTCCCATTGACTGTGGTCTAACAGCACTACTTAATCTTGAATCCTGGCTATGGACTGCAAATTCTATGGCATAAGAGAGAGTATCCTGTAGTCTGTAGCAGAAGATCCTGATGAGGAGTTTTAAATCATTCACGGGACAATGCCACTTACCTTTATTTCTGTTATCAGTTAGTTTTGTTTTACTACCATGAAATACCAGACACAGTTTACTTACAAGAGATAAGATATGTTTTAACCTATGGTTTTGTAAATTCCATTCCAAAATCAGATGGGCCCATTGCTTTGGGAGTCTGATGAGGGTACCGAGTGGTAGTGGCCAGGCACATGAACCAGATTAAATGACTCACTTCCCAGTCTAGCAGGCAGAGAGGTAAAAAAGTGACCCTGGATGCATAATCTTATTTGATGGCAGGCTTCCAAAATACTAAGAATCTTTTAATAGGACCTGCATCTTTTAGAATTACCTGGACATTGTATACACAGACTTTTGGGGGATATACAACTTCAAAATTATAGTAACATCTCTATGGGCATACATCCAGACTCTTCCCTTAGTATGGGAGACTAAGAAAAATTAAAAAAAAAATACAAGGATATTGATAAACATCTTGGAATTGATATTTTTTTCTAAGCATTGGGAGGGCAGGAAGTGGGATATGTTCTTTATTGTAGTCATATTTCATAAATACTTTATGCTTTCTCTCCCATTTGGGGATTTTCTTAAAACTTCGATGCAATAGAAAAATCCCCTTATCCCACAGGCAATAAATGAAGAAATTGTGCAGAAGATGCAGTTTCTTTTCTCCAGAGGAAATTTAATGAGAAATCAGTAATCTTTGGATCTTATCCTAGTCTTTGACAAATGCTGATCAAAATACTGCATGTGTCTATCATAACTTAGCCCTGCATTCCGCCTCGACCGATTATCTCTAGAGGCCCTTGACCAGTCAGGAGCCTTCCTTCTCTTTCACACATTCTCAATGCTCCATTTCACGTCCCAGATCTCAGCAAACTCACCTGATTCCTTTTCTGTTGTCATCACAGCATCTCAGCAATGTATTTATTTCCATAGCGCCTTTCCCCTGGTAAGCACACTGGATAACAGGCTTTCTTTTCAATCAGACCAAAGAAACAATTTTCACTCTTTATTTTCTACTGGTATTTGAGCTCATGTGCATTTGTGCAAAGCTTAGGTTAATGTTTGTTTGTTTTTTCCTTAGGTTGTTGGAGCCATGAAATTTGAGACCATGTTAGTTTTACTCATGATAAAATCTACGGTGCTTAACAAGTGAGCATCAGATCTTTGGTAATATTTTTAAATTGTTGAGCAGTGAGTGGATAATATCAGAAAACTCATATTTCTTCCTGTTGGTTACTCGAGGAAATAACTAAGACCTTTGGAAGATCAATCTGCCTGTTGTCATGTAAAGGTAGCTAGAGAATCATGAGCTAGTGTTGTATGTAAGGGTTTTCTCTAAAGATGTGTGTATCCTTCTAGGCTGAATGATTCCTAGTCTGACTGCTCAGAATGGAAAAATATTTCTTTGACCCCAAGACTAAAACACAGATGGATTCCTTGGCCAAGTGCTCTGTGGGTAGCCAGTCAGATCATGGACATACTGGAGAAATGTGAGGAGGCCTGGATAACCTAGTTTATTTCCTTACACGATGAAATTTTGTCCCATCATAAACTTCAATGAAGGAATGCAATATTAATTGGATGCTGCCCTTAAATGAACATATTTCTTCTTTTCTCCCTAGAGCTCTTCTCTTGTATAGCTCTCTCTCTATGTCTCTCTCTATCTCTAACTCTCACTCTGTCTCTCTCTGTCTCTGTCTCTCTCTGTCTCTGTCTCTCTCTGTCTTTGTCTCTCTCTGTCTCTCTGTCTCTCTGTCTCTGTCTCTCTCTGTCTCTCTGTCTCTCTGTCTCTGTCTCTCTGTCTCTGTGTGTGTGTGTGTGTGTGTGTGTGTGTTATGTGTGCCTAGTCCCTAAAGTTACAAACAGAAAGGAGGAAGCCTCCAAAAGGAATGAAAATTAATCTGATAGTCCCCACTATACTATTGCACTTCAGACAATTTAGATTTATCATTTCATTAAATTCTCAAACAAACCATTCCATAGGTAAACTTCATTGTCTCCCATTTTTTTAAATGAAAATCTGAGGTTTGTGTTAACCTTTTTGTCTACTTAAAAAGTGATTCTTGGGCTAGAGAGGAATATAGGATGGGAAGATGGACAAGGACAATATGGGAGAGGTTTAAATAAATGAAACATATAATGACATATAGGTAAGAAAATGTTAACTTAAAAGTGAATTAAAAATAAGGAAAAATGGATCTATGTCAGAATTCTTACATCTGTTTGTCCTACTCCAAACTATTATTCTTACCTCACCCACTTGGAAAGAAACAAGTGTAAGGTAGAGACAGAGGACAGAGATATGTCATTTCCCTAGCACGTGCAATCCTGGTGAGAATAGAAACTGAGGTCCGAAACTTTCATACAAAGGCCACAGGATTAGCATATGCAGAAGACTGGTTGCCAAAGGGGAAGGTTAGGAACTCTTAACTGACTGGCACAGGTACAGAGACACTCTAGAGGGTCAGATAGTGACCTGGAACTAATTACAATACTAAACACACACCCTCAGGGGTAGAGATTTAATATGCTAATGTGAAAGTTGATACATGATATTGTATGAAGAACTACAAGGTACAAAATATAAGCAAAAAAACCTTATGATGCAAATGGCCCATAAGCTTAGTCCTATGACTTATAGCACGAATCTTTAGTCCAGGTGGGCTTTTGAACTAAATTATTTTCCTTTGCTCTAACTACTTCCTATCTCTGTCTGTAGGGCCGTACTAAGTGGGTATAGTACTAAGTGTAGTCTAAGTGTAGTAGGGAGTATAATTAAGTGGGTAAAGTACTTGCTATGTAAGTATGGAGACCTGAGTTCACAATCCAGGATGGTCTTGGGGATTGAATGTCTTGCAAATCTAGCTAAATGGTGAGCTCTAAGGAGAGTGAAACATCTTGATTCAAAAAATAAGGTTGAGAGAGAGAGAAGACAGTCCAAGTTGACTTCTTATGGCTTCACACACACACACACACACATACACACACACACACATACACACATGCACATACATGTGCACACACATACACGCATGCACACACACATACACGCATACACACACACACACACACACACACGCACACATGCACATTTGCTCATATAAAATCACACACATGCACTGCCATCCAATGTTTCTGCTTCTGTTGATATCTCTGTATTTAATCTCAGCAACTACCAGGAAGAAAACAACAGGAAATCAAGAAATAAATACAAATACACAGAATAAAACAAAATGAAAAATAAAATCTCTTCTGAGCTGATTATATTACCATAGTTATTAAGGTCCAGATCCTAACAAGCTTGGCTCAGTTGCCTGCTCTCAATATGTTAATTAAATAGACAGTAAGAGTGAAAAGAATTCAATGCGATCATATTGGGAACAAGAAGAAAGAAATACAGTGAGTGCTGGGCTACCTTCTCACCCTCAGCCCCTTTACCAAGTTCATCTTCAAAGTTAAGGTTTAAAAGAAGGCAAAACTATATTCATAAATAAGCAATCCTAGTCACAGGAATTCCTACCCATCCTTGACCCTCCCCCACTCTCTTATTTCTAGTCTTTTCCTTCTTCTAGCAGAAGGCTCTTGGGAAACTCCAATTTCTTGGGTTCCATTGTGTGGTAGTTTGAATGAAAATGGTCCCAGAGGCTCACAGGGACTGGCACTATAGGAAAGTGTGGCCTTGTTGGCATAGGCATGGCCTTGTTGAAGGAAGTGTGTCACTGAGGGTGGGCTTTGAGGTCTTAGAATCTAAAGCAAGTCTTAGTGTATCTCAGTCTCTTTTTGCTGTCTGTAGATCCAGATGTAGGACTCTGAGCTCCCTTTCCAGCCCCATGTCCTGCCATGAGGACAAGGGACTAAATCTCTGAAACCTTGGAAGCCAGCCCCAGTTAAATGTTTTCCTTTATAAGAGTTGCAGTGGTCATGGTGTCTTTTCACAGCAATAGAAACCTGAACTAAAACACATTGTTTCAATCATCTGATAGCCAAAGTGGGGAACATAAATATCTGCAGTACTTCTCCACCCCTGCGAGGACACTTACAGGTATTTCATTGAAAAACAGAATTAAAAGGAAAAATGTACGTTATTTGAGCTGCATTCAATTTTGTAAATTGTTAAAGATTTAATGTTAAGGAATTAATGAGGTGCAGAAATCTGCTAAATGCTTCAGAGAGAGAGAGAGAGAGAGAGAGAGAGAGAGAGAGAGAGAAACAAGAGCCACAATTATTGTTAATTGTACTCATACAGAGAGCAAAGAGTCATCAGAAATTGTGTCTGGCCAGCATGCCAGTGGTCATCTGAGCTTCAGATTTTCCAAACAAATTTTGTATTTACTTGCTTTCACAGCAAAACCTCTCACAATAGTCCTTGGTCATTTGAAAATCCATGTTGACACAAGATTTTCTGGAGTTCTCTGTAATTCCATGGTAACCAAGAGTCCCTCCTAACTGTTTTCTTGGCTGCCATCATCTGTTTGCTCTTCATTTTAGGAATCTGCAGCAGAGCTGGGTTTGCACAATTTCAGTCCTTTCTTTCTGCCCAGAGGGCAAATGAGGAAAAAAAAAAACAGAAAACAAAAGTATGGAGAACCAGGCGATTCTCAGCCAAACTGAATGAGAAAATTGAAGCAATTACTGGAAAATAGATGTGAAAACCTGTTATCACTCAAATTGAAAGGTAAATGTCTTTGAATTTGTGTTTCATTTAGACTAAGACTCACTGAGGAGATGGCAATCTTTTCCTTCTTATGCATAAATCATGAGTTACACATTTGTAAGGATGAAGGTGTCACTGGAGTACTTGTTTAAAATTAAATATTGCTTTTCACAGAGGCCCTAAATTTATTCTGCAGGGGATTGTTGTCATGCCAATGACACTTCAGAACTAAAATCAACATTATTTTCTTTGACAAAATGAGTTTCTGTGTGGTTTCCGTCAACATACACATTTTACCTGTTTGAGATTGAAACCATTTAGTGATCTTGAGCCTCATGTCTACAGTGCTTATATTTCTTTCTTGGAGAATGTGTGTGATTTCACCTGAACATAAAGGCTAAAATTACATTATCAACAGATGAGTAGTAAAATGCAAGCCATATCATTTCATAGGATGGACACATTCCTAACAGATTCTAACTTTGTCAAATAAAATGAATGGGTCTTGGATTTGTGATTTATTTCTTTTACATTTATAAATAGGCTGTAGAAGTTTGCTCAAGACATTTGCAGAGTGGGAAAACCTTACCATGGGTTATTTGTTGTGTCTTTTAGGCATGAAATGTTCATTATTATCAATGTTACCAAATACTCCTGGTCATTTACACAGACTTACAGAGAATTTGAAGAGCATTGTAAAATTCTTTCTGATTGAAAGCATAGCAGAAACTACAGATAATGTATAACCTATTCATACGTACTGCACACACTATAAAGTGTTCCCACAAATAATTCCTGTTTTCCCTATTGACTATGACGTGAGTATTTTTATCGCAATTGGTATTCTTTAAAATCCTCAGTAATAGTATTTGAATGGGAATTCATGTCCTGGAGGTTATTTTATACTTCACTTATCCATTTTGAGTTATATAATAATACTTCTGACTTACTCATTATTTTTATCTATGTGTTTATTCAAAAACATGTAAAGGTAATGCTATTTTGAAAATCTTGTGTCATAACTTTCTAGAGAAAGTTATATGTTTTCACTTCCGTTTATAAATTTAATATATCTGTCTTTAACAATGTAAAAATTACTTTAGGTTTCACTGAATAAAAACAACTGTTAGTGGCTGGGCCATTCCTGCATGGATTTTACTGAAAAATAAATGTAATAAGCTACTGATGCTTGCATGTTTTCGGTATAATAGGTTAACCACACTCTCATAGCATAGTCGTAACACTGACACCATTTAATTTATTTGTTCAACTCTCCCTGCCATGTCAGATTTTATTAAAAAACATTATTCTTGGGAATTGAATAGAATTAACTTGAATTACTTTTAACCAGTTCTTCTGTTTTGGTTTGAATCCAAAGGAAGGGGACTGCATTTTCAGAGTTTGACTGGGTGGCCTATCTTATAACACAAAGGTCAATAGTGAACAGTAGTGGGCTTCAGCTGAATCCTCCCCATCCTGCTATCCTTTCTACCAGTTTCTTCCTTAGAACAGTGCACTCAGTAGCAGAGGATAGCTGTTCTGTGGGGACGGAAGGACATTGTCTCCACATGGGTAGTCTGAATATAAAAGTCTTTCTGTTTTATTTTAACTTGTGTATAAGAACATTAAGCATGCTCATATTAGTGGAGTACTGTGTGATGCTCCCCAAAATGAGTGCATTGTGTAATATTGGAATCAGGTTAAATGTTCTCTTTCCTCAAATGTTTACCGTATCTTTGTGATGAATACACTCTGAACGCTTTTTTAAACTCTCTGAAGAACATAATACATAACATTTATCTCAAGTAATCCTAGTGTCACAGACGCTAGAACAATAATTATTTTCACCAATCAGTCTCTCTCTCCCGGTCCTCTCAGAGATGTTTTTTACATGTATAGTTTCAAACTTCAGTAACAGAGATACAGAATTTCGGATGTAAGTAAGAATTACTACTCAATATGCCTGAGATGCTAAAACCATTATCTACTGTCCTTTAAAATGAACTAATGACTCAACCACCTGGATTGGAATGATTGCTACCTTTTATGATTATTAAGCTCTGACCACTATCTCTAAAAACTGTGACAACAAAATAAAAAAAAAAACACAAACAAAATAACATGGAAAGCAAGAACAAGGGGGAAAATCCTATTTTCTCCCCTTTCCACCTACATTTGAGGCAGAGTCCAATACCTGCACTGTGGCCGCCATTGCTCAAGTACATGCTGTGCTGACCACTCTCCTGATGGGCCTGCTAAGAATAAGTTGTATCGGATTGCCGAGGGCCAATGTGGAATTATTCAAATGAGGTTTTGGAGCAGTGAAACAAGCTGGAGTGAGTATAAGGTACACGGTTACCTGATGAGCAGAAGGCAATGCAGGAGGGTGGTCAGGGTCAGGCATGCTGAGGTCGGCAAATACTACAGTATTAGAAACGTTTGTCAGTGTTGCAGAATTCATGACTTCAACTGTTCTTCCCCTGTCTTCCCTCTCTGTCACAAGGCTTCCCTTTTGCTCTTTGGCTGATGACCTCCCTCTCAGGAGTGTCCTCTTCCAAGGGGTTAGGCAAAAGCACAGACTAATGAATTTAGCCTAGCATTTGTTAGCTACTCAGCCATTTATCATATGTTTCTCTCTTAATTGTCAGGTCTTTTGATTGTATTTTCTTGAAGATTAACCAGCCATTACTGATTTTTTTTTAAGAATGACTTCATCTAAGCTTTTAAATGTTAACTTGGATTGTCTTAGATAAAAATGTTGTTATCGATCATTTTTCTTTCCATTGCTCTTTTCCTTACTGGTAATTTACATGAAAATATGATGAGAAAGGCCCAGTAAGATGGCTTAGCCAATAAAAGTATTTGCATCCAAACATCAAGACCATTGCTGGAACCCACATGGAAGAAGGAGAGAAGTGATGCAGTCAAGCTGTCCTTTATCCTCCACACATGCACGATCACACACCTGACCCTCACAACGTACATACACCACACACACACACACACACACACACACACACACACACACACACACACACACACACAAGTAAATATAAATAAAATTTTAAAATAAAATTTAAAAAGCATACGAGTGAATGTGGTTTTAGTTTACTGTTCATCTTTGAAATATATCTCAAGGTTCTTGGCTTTATTGAAGAGTTTAAAGGCATCCTTTTTCCGTGTGTATTTTATGTTCTGTTGAAAAATCTGAGAAACATGTGCTATAGGGAAATAACACAGATAATTTATATATTCAGAACTTTTTCCCAGCATGTATGAAACGTTTTATACTGTCACTTGGCAGTAAGGTGAGTTGAAGTTAAAGGCTGCACACACTTCAAATGTACTATTATTTTCTACGATTCCTTTGTAAAGTCACCTTTGGCTTCTTTTTCCATTTCAGCTCCATCCTCAGTGTTGGCTAATATAACATGTGCTATGTGAACATGTACACATCATTTTACTTTTCTGCGTCCCAAAAAGCATGCCAATGTGAGAAGGTAATTGTGATTTTGAAGAAGTGATGTAGAATTTTTATCTAATATGAGCTTATATAATAAATTCAAAGTACATTTATTAGGTTTACCAGATGCCCATTTTTTCATACTCCCAATTGCTGCTATGTGTGAGAAGATGTGGAGGCAGAAGAGTGAAGCAGATGAGTGGCAAAGGGTTGGGGTTTTTCTTTTCCCCTGCTCAACAGTTCAGAGAGACCATTTCTTTTCAATAACTCCCAGAGGTCTTGGGCTTTTGTGAATGCCCTAGTAGACAAAGCATGCAAGTGTGTATAGCACTGACTAGAGAATTTTAAAACCTAAACAGTAATGGAACTCCCATTGTCCTTAAGAGTGATTTTCAGTATAAAAACCTTTAAAGTATTGAACTGATAATAAACCTTTGGAAGCTCACCACCAGTGGACTGAAATGAAATTTAAATTTAGAATAATCTATAAACTTATTCAGTCTATCCCTTTTCTTTTTACAGACAAAATAAATGCACTAGAGAAACTCAGCTTGCCTACTAGGGTCTCATGGCTTGTGAACATTAGTGTTTGATACCTTGTGACAGCTACTCAGTCCTCTGCAGAAAATAATGCCATACGTTGGTGTATTTTAAACTGTATTTTACTTTGTAACATTAGACCCATAATGTACCTAGTATTTTTTAGGGGGATTTTGTTGTTTTCTTGGAATTTTATTATTATTTTTTTCTATTTTATTTGCAACCATCCAATCTTTCCCCTCAATATAACATTTTAATTGACTATTTGGAAATTTCACATTATGAACCATGATCACACTCTTTTCCCAGATCTGCCCCAACCCTTGTGATCTCTCCACCAAAAGAAGAAGAGAATGAAGAAAAGAAAGAAGAAGAAGAGCGCACACTCACACACACACATACACATCCAAATTGTGTTGCCTATATACCCAATGGAGCATGGTTAAACTTCCAGTAACCAGTTCCTTTAAGAAAACTGAGTCCTTCCCCAACACAGACTCCTGCTAGAGTTGTGGAGAGCTACATTTCAGCATCCTCCTCACAATTTTAGCATTCTCTTCCATAGTTTCCTGTCAAGGCTGTTACTTTTGGGGGGGTTGGGTGGGGGGTAAGGATTGTCACAGAAGCCTTTTGTATCATTCTTTCTCAACTGTGAGTCTACAGTCATCAATACCATGGCAAAAGTAGCTTTATTGTCTTTTACTGTCAGCGGGATCACAAACCATGGACTTCCACATGGTTTCTGGCAACAACATAAACTACAGATATCTACACGGTCTTTGGTGTCAGCATGTGCCATATACCTTAGCATGGTCTCTGGTGGCAGTACAGACCACAGACATCAATATGGCCCTCTGATGCAGGATAGGCCAGGGACACCATCATAGTCCTCAGCCTCAGGACAGGCTTAGGATGTCAACACAGCCTCTAGGGCAACATGGGCCAGTGACATCAACATAGTCCCCAACAGAAGTCAGGCCCATGGACATCAATATAGCCTCAGGTAGCTTTGCAGACCCTTCACATCAGCATGGCCCACAGTGGCCCATGGACATCCCAATGGCCCTTGATTGCCACATGGGGGTCATTGACAGCCCCCGGCTGCAGCAGAAACACAGACCGTGAGAGTCTATGAACTAGGTAACAAAAGTTCATGACAGAGTAAAATGAATTTTGTATACTTTATTTTCTAGCCAGAGTACCTAATCCACATGATGGTACACATACTATACATGTTCCTGGTATTATTTCCTGAAATTTTATGTAAATATGCATTTCATAAGCTATCTGTTTTCTTCTATGTGAAGTTCTTTCCTTACCTCTTCTTATGTAATTGCTTATGATGAATGCACTGGAAGAATGATAAGAGAGATTCTTTCAAAACTAACCTGTAGGTTACTACTCTTACTTCTATAAATCTAGATATGGCATCTTAATGGGATTATCTGTGATTTTTTTCTTGCCACATGTTGTAGTTTTCATCACTAGAACTTTGATGTGAATCATTTCCATACACTTTCTATATTCTATTTAACATTCTGAATGCATGAAATGTAGTTATGTTAATTATTTACATATTCTTATTTCCCCAACATTTATGTCTGGTTTAAGTGAACATTATTCCTTCACAAATGATTCTTTCCTGTCATTTTGCCTGTTAATTAATTTTTGAGTAGATGGGAAACATGGCAAATATTATCTTTGAGGGCATTGGACATTATTATATTTTATAAATAGTTTTGAGTATTTTTTTTTCTGTAATGCAGGCAAGTTGTATAGAAGGAATTTGACCCTTTTAGGTCTTTTAAGAGTTGATAAGTTCCTCCATATTAGGATTAATTACTCCTCCAAACTGAGAAAAGGACTTTTGGATTATTTCTCCCATTGATGTATAAGTTCAGTTTTCCCCTCTTGCTGTTTGTGTTAGATACGTCTTGCTCTGTCCTTTCTGTGACACCACAGTCTTTGGGATTTTTGTCAAAGTATTCAGGCAAGACATAAAGAATGTGTTATAGATGATAGATGGAATTGATTATGAAGTAAGATATTCTCAAGGGTGAACGTGGGTAATAGCCAAGCGGACCACTGTGAAAGAAAATACCCTTGAACGGGTGAGAGTGGACAATGGCCAGAGACTGTTGTGCCAACTACATTTTAAGATATGCATAATTCAACCAATAGACACCACCCTCAAGGATAATTTTCTATCCAGATGATTGACAGGCCCATTCAGCTGATTCTGAAGGGAAGGGAGAGTGGTGCATCTTTATATTTGACAGAAAGTGTCCTGTGGTGTAGAAATCTCAAGTTCTTAGGAAGTTTGTAATGTCACATTTCTACTAAGGACCAAATGTGTGACTAAGTTCCCATCCTTTTCACCACAGTAAAAGGCCTGTGGCTTCAGTTTCTGGTTTTATTAACCAATGATACTGTGGGAGGGCGTGCATCCTCAATTATCTTCATGTGTACTGTTACCTACCTAGATACCTAGCAGTTCCAATAGGCACTGGTCATACTTCTGGATGATCATTTAGCATCTAAGACCCCCCCCCCCACAGGCGTGTGTCCTTGTCAGTATTCTGTGAGCTATTCAGTATACTATGGGATATGGGACACTCTAGGGTCTTGTCTCTTCTCTAGAACTTTAGTCCATGAACCCCTGCTGAGTCATTTTCTCATCAGTACAAGCTATTCTTTCAATAGTTTTTATATTTGTTGTTGTTATTCTTGTTGTTTGTTTGTTTATCTTGTATTACGGTCTGAAATTCTCTTAAGAAAACAAGTCATTTAGTCATAGCACTCATGTGAATATAACACGTGCTTATGAGTGGAAACTGTGAGAACATTGGTTTGATTTACAACAGGAAGAAATAAAATATTGAAAAAAGATGGAAGGTGCAAAGGAAATAAAATAAACTAAGAACTCCAGATAATCAATCCAACTTACTTCAAATCAAAACCATTCAAATGATTAATAAAAAATTAAATATTTTTAAAAGATTGACATTGTACTGTGTTATTTGTTACACAAGCTGTGTAACAAATAACAACTAAGGCAGATAATCTTTGACACCCGGCCAGGCATTAAAGATTATCTGCATTAGTTGTTATTTGTTACACAAGCTAGTAAATTATTAGTTAATTATCATTTTGCTAATGAATGTTCAAATCAAGTAATGAAACATTTTTATAAATTATATTTGATTAGTGTGAAAAGACTGCTCAAAGGCTATATCTTTTTTTCTAGTATTTCTTTAGTTAAAGGAATCTCAAATGTAAGGATGCAATTGAATAATTTTTTAAAAGCTTATAATTTAAGATTGAATCAATATACAACTTAGTAAAAAGTTATTATGAAATATTATTTGAAATCTCATTTGATAAAGATATAAGAAGTTGTAATGCAAAAATTATAAAATAACATTTATACAAAATACATAATTACATACTAGGTGTAAAAAACAGTTTTAAATAGACCAAGCACAATTTTTGTCAACTTTTGCATAAGTGACAACTGTTATAAATTGAAATAATTCTATTTCTAGAGAATATCACTTAATGGGCTTATACAACTAGCCCATACTCATAATAAAGAAGCTATGAGTCTAAATAATTTCTTTAAAATTATAAAATCAATTAAATGGCACAAATTACAAAGCAGTATAGGGAAATTTATCTTGTTCTATGAAAGAAATATCCCAGGTGACTTAGGCAAGTTGTCCAGGTTTTGAAAGCCCGTGATGGAATATTATTGAGGAATTTATCTTGTAACATTTAATAGTTTTGGAATAAATTTTTACACAACAAAATTTTCATAGAAAGATTTTGAAAACACCAAAGACCTCCCCCAAAATTTGAGCACTGTGAATATGAGAAATCTTAGTTCATAGGTCCTCTCTACAGTATTTTGTGAAAGTGAAAAGCTGGGGTTGAGTACACATCTGCACATACACCTGTAAGTAATATAGAAGTGGAGTGAAATTTTAGAGTTACCATACACTAAAATATTGCCTTCTGGGACTGGAGAAATGACTCAATAATTAAGTAAAATTGTCACTCTTGGAAAGGACCAGGGTTCCTAGCACCCTCATGCTGGCTCATAACCTTCTATCACTGACTTTCGTTTTTAAATATACTTTTGTCTACATTAAACAATTTAAAACTTTTTTTTAAAAGAAGAGAAGTCCTGTTCATCTGTTATAAAACTAACATTTGGGGGATACATGCTGGTTTGGAAATAAGAACCATTCAAAACAAAAACACAACTTCAGTGGAAAAGGGTCTACTTGGGGGCAAAGTAGACACAGGCGATATTTGAATTGGTTCTAATGGTTTTCTAAAACCTGTGACCATTAACTTCATAAGTCATTCATATTTCTTCTGCAAAACTCGGGTTTTTTTTTTGAAGCTAGTTGCAGTAGCAGCAGCACCAGCAGCAGTAGATCACCCTGTGTTCTCTTTCTTCATCCACACAGAAGCAGCAGCTTACCCTGTGTTTTCTTCATTCACACAGAAGCAGTAGCAGCTCACTCTGTTCTCTCTCTTCATTCATGCAGCAGCAGCAGCAGGTCCCCCTGTGTTGTTCTGAGTCTTCATTCATGTAGCTGCAGCACACCCTGTATCCTATCTCTTCATTCACACAGCAGCAACAGCCCAATATTAATTTTCATATTCTACAGGGTATCTACAGGGTTCTGTCTTCATTCACACAGCAATGTCTTACCCTGGGTTCTGGCTTCATTTATAGAGCAGCAAGGCACATCATGTATTCTCTTCATTCATACAGCAGCAGCAACAGTAGCAGTTGCTTACCCTGTGTTTTCCTGTGCTGTCTTAATTCACACAGCATTAACTTACTCTGTGTTCTGTGTCTTCTCTCATACAGCAGCATCTCACCCTTTGTTCTATATCTTCATTCTTGCAGCAGCAGCAGCAGGTCACTCTGTGTTCTGTATTTTCCTTCATACAGCAACAGCAGCTTACCCAGGTTCTCTGTCTTCATTCACACAACAGAGGCTCACCCTGTGTTCTGTCTCTTCATTCACACAGCAGCAGCACCTCACCCCATATTCTCTCTCCTGCTTTATTTCTTTGTTTTTTTTTTTTCCTCATCTGACTTTTTACCAGGCTGCACACACAAGAGTTTTCATAAATCATCTCCTCAGCTAAAAATCCAAGCTCTTCAAATTATTTTCTACAAAACATTTTTTATGTAACTATGTGACACAGATGCGTTTTCCTCTAATTTCTGAGGGCACATTACTTTTCCCCCTATGAGTCCCCACCAGTTTCATCCTGAATACCTATTTGCAAGCCAATTGTGGTTCTAAGGAATTTTCATATTCTACAGGGTATAGCTGAAGTTTTCCTGGTCCCACCTGGCTCCTGTGGTCCCTCACTCCTGCAGCTACTTAGACCCAAATGAACACACAGAGGCTTAATATTAATTAAAACTGTCCAGCCATTAGCTCAGGATAACTATTGACTAGCTCTTACACTTAAATTAACCCATAATTCTTATTTATGTTTAGCTACATGGCTTGGTACCTTTTCCCAGTTCTGCCTTCACATGTTGCTTC